TGGAATTTTGCAGTATCTAAAAGAAAAAAAGAAAAAGAAAGAATAAACGATTTCTCAACCTTGATACTCTGTAATCAAGTAATTTGTTATATTCATATTCTGTACGATGGTTCAACGTTCAACGTATGTACAGTATTCTTAAATGAACAAACGTTTCTGCGATGGAAAGATGATCACAATCATGTTTCACTGTGTACTGTAATTAGATAATATTATTTGTTGGCATTCAGAGTTTAAGTGCTAGCTTTATGAGATTCGATTTTTTATACTACTATATCAACTTAAATTCATAAGTTGGTACTAATGTGTACATTTCTATTTTTAATCGTATCGCCAGTTCAAATTTACATTTAAACCGACAACACCTATGTTGCAATCAATATCGATCCATCGATGATGATCGATATGATACGCATGATAAATCTTAGAACTCCAACATCGAAACTTGCTCAGGATAAGCGGCAATAGATAAAAGTTTATAATTAGACTAAATAATCGTGTGCGTATTTGTCTTAAGATATGCGCGGAATCGTTTCATATAATTAAGTTTCCTGTTCGCATAGAGGAACAGGAAACATTGCACCATGGACCAACTAATTTTGAAGTAAATTAGAAGAAATGACGATAGTAAAGTGACGATAGTAAAATATAAAAATAACGTAGCGTATCGATATTGCAAAAAGGGGGAAAAAGTTGCAATTTCAATTAATTAAATTCTTTCAAGATATTTTAAACCTACAGACGAAATCCTATCTGTATATAATTAACAGAAGTCGATGGAAGGAAAGATGTCCGTAAAAGTATAGGGAATTCAATATTTCCAAATTATTCCATTTCTTTCTCGTTCCGCAAAGATCGTAAAGATTAAAAATGATTTCGTAAGTGCTATTTACAAATCTCTAGACTACCGACTAGAGACTACCTCTAAGAACATTTTAAAGTGAGACGTGATTAGATTACGAGGATTCTGCGATGGCGACATATTTACTGTGACCTATTTCAAACAAGTCTATAACTGTATTAAATCTGATTAAATGATATTTAGTTAATTCTATTGGAAACCAAACATAATTAATGTTGTAATCCCGACTATCTCGTAATAAACGAAGATGACTGCTGGAAGAAAACGTAGCTATTTCAACGTTCCTATTACTGTATAACAGTTTTCAATCACGGCAATTCAATTTTTTCTAAAATCTTTTCCTGAAAATGGTTTCGACTGTACATATTTTTCTGACATCGACAGAACACACTCACCGATGATTACAAAAGAACAAGTCCGGAACATCGGCCAACAACAAAAGATAATGTACATTCACGGTCGACTTTTCATCTAATATTTAACCAACATAACGCAAATAACTGTATATTAAAAATACCGTATACTTTTGAATACGGTGCCCATTCGATTTGGACCCAGTCGCGGATTGGATCGAATTGCAATGTCAATGTTCAGTTATTAATAAACTACGGATCTTTATGCAGAGAATAAAAATTGTTTACAGTGCCTACAAGATACAGGGATTACGCGAACTATCATTTCTTTGCTTAACGATTTTACCGAATTGATAACAAAATGCAACAGTATCTTTAAACTCTTCAAATGTTTTCACTGTTTTGTATTTGATCTTCTGATTTTTATCATAAATGCATAAAATCCGCGTTCCAGCTATTACAATTAGACGGTCGAATTTGACGCGGTGTTAGCGAACTGTACAGTATGTGCACTACACTTCGAAGGGTCGGGACACACAGTGGCAAGAAACAATGATGATATATGAGTGTGTGACGGCAGGACATCTTACTGTGAGCAGGTCGTAGCTCCTAAGCCCGAGGCGGATTCGAAGACTGCAGCGTGTCCAAACAATCTCCACCGGAGCTGCCTCCAGAAATCATTTTATATGAACCACGATCTTTGATTACAAAGATTCTTTGGTGGAAACGAACTGATTGTCAAGTATTACACAAAGCACCGTCGATTCCTGCCTCTGATAAAGATGACGATTTCATGCGAAGGTTGCCGATTAAATTAAGCACGAGCGATGCACCAACGTGCGGAGACACATCAAAGACGCTTTATCTGATCGCAATCATCGGCCGAAGGAGTGTAAGCAGTGTTGTGCAGTCCTCTGTGAAGTTGGAACAAGTGTCGCCACTTTTATTGTAGCTCGCATTCCTTTCGTCGTCTGAAAACTGTTGTGCTCCGTTTGGAACGGAGCAATTACGGATAATTGTATAATCGCAGAGGAAACCTCGCGTTGCACACCGTGCAGCACAAGGAGGCAGGTAAAAGCTTCATCGATACAATTTTCTGTACAGTCGGTTCACTGTATTTTTAGCGGTAAGTTAGGATAAAGATTATCGTCCAAGATAAACGTTAATTGAATCTGTTCGCAACCTGACACGAATATGTTCTATTATACCGGCAACAATGGGATGTGTTTTCATTTGAACTGTGTACAACGTGCTCCAGAGTTTTCTCGTTTAATCTATGTTTTATCATGTGAACTTACAAGTGTTTCATTAAAACGTTATGACTTTGCAAGATCGAAGATGATACGTCGACTTTTCCTTCGACGCTTCTCAACGCTTACCTCGTATATGCGGCTCCGCTTCAAAGTCTTCTTCATGCTTCCGAATACGTTGGATTGACATCTCTGAGAAACCGAACCAATTATATTACGTACCTCTTGTTGATTTCTTTCCATTTCAGTGAACGCATTACAAAATCCATTCTTGTGTATGCTGTACTAAGCAAAACGTCACAGGCTGTCACCGAAATCATTTACTAAAACATTGCTCGGTGTACCACCATTGTACCGAAGTGTATCAACAACATTGCTTGTATTATTCGTTTTAAAAAGTTTAATGTAAGCAGAAATATTTGCGACGAACGTTCACTTTCATGTGAGCCGTTTATTTCGAAAGTGGCATAAGCACTTTGTTTTTAAGTCGATATACATATTTAAGGGTTTGCGTTTTAACACGTTTAACAATATGGATGCTAACTTTCGAGAAGATTTACTTGTATTTGTTATCTCAGGATACTGATATTTTACTCGGTATAAATAATTTCGTATAAACATTAAAAAATCACCACTTTTCATTACAGTAAAGTGACTTATGCCACTTTCAAAATAAACGACTCATGTATCAATTGTATTATGTATTGGGTTGGCAACTAAGTAATTGCAGATTTCAGTTATAGATGTCTCTCACTCCCATTTTTATGATATCCGTAAATGTTATATTATAAAATTATTATTCTTATTATTATGTTATTTTTTATTATCCGTGAATGTTAACAACTGGACAAATTAAATGCAGCGGTCAAGGAAAAGCGACCAGAATTGGTCAATCGTAAAGGTGTCATTTTCCAGCAGGACAATGCTAGGCCGCACACGTCTTTGTCCACTCGGCAAAAATTGATGGATATTGCTTGGGAATTGATGTTACACCCACCATATAGCCCTGATCTCGCG